TTTATCATTTATGATCAAGTGTGGTTTGTTATAACCAAATTTATAACCATAAATGTTTGCAAAGCTTCCTATACTCTCTATTTCCGGGATTTTGTAAAATATAACTTCACTTCCTTTGTTTGAGTTCTTAAATCTGATTCGAGCTATTTTTTAGGGCTTAAAACAAAACCCACATCTTGTGTTGTAAGTTTATTGGAGGCGAATACTTAATGCAAGAAATAAGTCTAGTCTAGGGTTTCGTGGGTGTCTAGTATGAACTTGATGTGTAGTCAAAGATTTCATTTGGATATATATATATATATATATATATATATATATATATATATATATATATATATATATATATATATATGAAAGAATAAAATAAATACAAGTTATGTATTATCATGAATATAACATAAGTAGAGTTATTGGTTTGGGATGTAGGTATTCGGAGAGGGATAAGCTCATCTAGCTCCTGTCAATAAGGCTGTTGAGATTCAACTTTAGTCTAGGTAAGTTTCTCACCATACTAATGGGTCAAAGACACCAAGGACGACCCATTGGATCTTGCTATGTATCTTTAGGGTTATGATTGATTATGATTGCTTGTATTATTATGTTTATGCATATGTCGACATAATGCAGGATGGGTGAGGCTTTACTTCTCAGTGCGTAGGCCAACAAACCAGGATAATCCACTCTGATAACTAATTGGGCCAGGGTATTCCAGTCCGGTGACTGAGTGGACTCATTACATGATGGCATTCCAGTCCGATGACTGATTTGGACGGGGTATTCCATTCTGATGACTAAGTGGACCCGTTACATGACGATATTCCAGTCTGATGACTGATTGGGCTAGGGTATTTCCAGTCCGATGATTGAGTGGACCCGTTACATGTTCTATCTATTCTTATGTTGGTTTTGTGTGGTATACTAGGGGAAACTCCCTAAGCTTTGACTTACAGTTTCAATATTATGTTTCAAGTACTTCTGATGATGGGGGGAAGGCAAAGGCATGATCGTACATATCCTCTGGTGGTTGTATCAAAGATTTTCTATGATACATGATTTGGATTTTTGTACTTGACTCTTGTGTTTGATGGATGACTCTAATAAACTATTGTTTCTTACTTATTTTTACATGAAATTTTTTAATGTGAGGATGTTATAGAGAAAGCCAAAGGTGGTCTGGGGGTTGGATCCATTAAATCCCTAAATATCTTATTATTGGTGAAATAATGGTGGCAACTCCAAACAGAACCATCCACGATGTGGGCAAAAGTTATCACAAGCATCCATAAGTTACAAAATAAAGGTGACGATTGCTATTCATTAAAATCGATGATAGGGTCTGGAATAACATCGCTTTCATCAAACGTGATCTCGTCAAATTAGAAATCCCACATTATAAAATCATTAAAAAAACACCAAGAGGAAAGTGGCGTCTCGTGGAAGTGCGATCTTGGGGACGGAAAATACCATGTAAGTGCTCTCCATCATGTCTTAGAAGACAAGGATACCATGGATAATGGCATGTTTAGTTGGAATAAGGAGGTCCCAATAAAGTTCACGTGCTTCATTTGGAGGGAAAAAATGGGTCGCATCCTATCCGATGTGGCGCTTGCTAAATTGGGTATTAGTTTACCATCTATTACATGTTGTCTAAGTAATTCGATGGAGGAAACTTCCGAACATGCATTGGTCCGGTGCTTCGTTGCAAAAACGATCACGGGGTGGATTTTCAAATGGTGTGGCGTCCCGATGGACAACATCCAAACGGTGAATGAGGTTCTTGACTATGCCTCTAATTGGGGAAATTGCCTGAAAAAGAAGAAAAGATTGTTGGGCATCTGCTATGAGACGTTATGGAGCATTTGGAAGACAATGAATGAACGATTATTCAATAATCAACGGGTGTGTGTCACAAAAGTAGCGGATATATATATTCTCATTTGCTAGTTCAAAAGAAAAAAAAAACTAATACCCTTGCATCAAACTGTTTAGCCTAAGCCAATTAACAACCGGTTGTATAACTTAGCTGCAAATGTTTTTTTTTTTCTAAACTAATCAATGATAATGTTGATGGAGATTGGAGAAGAACTTGAAATGTGAATACAATGTTTATGGCCCATCGATAGAATGAAAGAAAATGAAGCTTCATATGCGTGAAAGGCATGATTTATCTAGAATAATTAGAATTATATCTTACCGTTTATGATGTTTTCAAACAAATAAGTACTTCGATTAGATTAAAATACTCCTACTAAATACAGGGCCGGTCCAAACATTTTTGAGGCCCCGGGCAAAAATAAAATTAGAGGCCCTTGATATCAAAATATCAACTCTTAATTTTGATCTAATTTTTTTTAAGACGCATCAAGGTTTTTAAGTTTTTTCACCAAATATTTTAAAATATTATGTTTTCAATAAAAGACAATTGCTTACAAATTATGAAAAAAAAAATTAATATGTTTATATTAATGTAAACCAAATTTAAATTTAGGAAAGCCTTTTGTATTGTATTTGATATAGGGGTGACAATTGATAACATGACACGATAAAAATACACAAAACGAAACGAAATTGAAATTCGAATTCGTATTCGTGTCGTGTTCGTGTCAGGTGTAAAAAACACGACATCGTGTCGTGTCGTGTTCGTGTTCAAAATTTGACACGAAATTGACACGTTTAACATTTTTTGTTGTGTTTTTGTGTTATGTATGAATAAATATTAATTAAATACACTAATTTTTATTTCATGTTATCTTTGTCGTGTCGTATCGTTTTTGTCGTTTTTTAATCGGTTGTAAATTTAAATACAATTAGTATTTTTAATCGTTTTTGTCGTGTTTTTTTGTCGTTTTTTAACTTATTTAGTGTTGTAGATTTAAATACAATTAGTATTATTATTATTATTATTGATAATATTGTTACTATTAAAAACGAAATTAAATAAATAATTTTAAAATTCAATTTTAGTATTATTATAAAATAAACACATGTATAAATAATTTTAAAATACATATTTATAAAAATAAAAACATATTTATCTAAAAAATTACATATAAAAATGTACTTTTATATATTTATACCTAAAAAACAATTTTAAAATTTTCTTTTACTTTATATGTTTTTTTTTTTTGCTTTTTAAACGTATGAATACTTTTTTTAAATATAATAAGAAAATGAAAAAAAATACATATCAATTAAAAATATTAAACGTTTTCAAGGTATAAAACATATAAACATGTTTGTTATATAATAATTATTATTATTATTATTGCATTTAAATCTATAGAACATTTGTCGATTAAATATTATACTGAAGGATATAATTAGCAAAATTGATGTGGATTAAATGGTAAGTCCCTTCCTTATGTTGAGTTGAAGGAGACGCAGGTTCGATTCAACCTAGCCCCTGTCTTCATTTCGTTTTGTAAGGGAACGATAATAGCATTATATATGATTATGGCAAACGCATTTGTCATCAATATGAATGGCTCGAGTTCGAACCTCACAGTTACATTTATTTCAAATTCTGGGTTTTTTAAAGGTATAATAAAATGCGCTGATGTGGCATTCCACATCATCTGCCACGCTAGCAAACAGTCCAACTTGGCATGCCACATAGGCGGATGATTTGCTTAATAGGTAAAATGGGATTAAATTGAATAAATTTCCAGGTTTTCTGGGCTTTTAAATTCAAAAAAAAAAAAGATAAAATTACATAAATGGTCCTCATGGTTGACAAAATCGACCAATTATGGTCCTTATGATAAATTCTTTACACAGATGGTCCTTGTGGTTTCAAAATCTTTCAAAGACGGTCTTTTTGACTAACGATGTTAACTTTTTCAGTTAAGTCCTATGTGAAATGACATAAATGGTCCCTGTGGTAGAAACATATTACATAAAGCGTCCTTATGCATGAAGGGCAAATATGTCATTTCACATAGGACTTAACTGAAAAAGTTAACATCGTTAGTCAAAAAGACCGTCTTTGAAAGATTTTGAAACCACAAGGACCATATGTGTAAAGAATTCGTCATAAGGATCATAATTGATCGATTTTGTCAATCATGAGGACCATTTATGTAATTTTGTCAAAAAAAATTTAGGATATTTTTGAAACTCTTGTCAAAATGTAAGGACTTTACTGTAGTTATCCCCATTATAAAGTATATACATTACTGTAAAATTGGACCCTTGGTAAACACGGAGTTTTGGATCGTCGCCCGGGTTGCCATCCTATTGGGCCGGACCTGACTAAATAAAACGTAGTCCAATTAATTGAACAACATGTAATAATTCTTACCAGTCCAAAAGTAGCTTTTTTTAATCTTTAGTTATTACCTTTAAATCATGATTCATGACATCTAATAGTCAATCTTAACGAATCCACAAGGACCACAACCGACTCATTTAACTCCACTTAATTTAATGGTCCCGAGCCAACCCAAAACGATCAATAAATTATTTGATATGTTGTTATATCGATACCAAAGAATTAATGCAAATCAAAATGCCCAAAGTTGATTGAGCTCAACAGGTAAACCCAACCCGAGTCAAGTCATTTGAATCGTGACTTATTTGAACATAAAGTTCACAAATTCATTATAATTGATAAATTTCAAGTCGTATCTAAACTGATCATGTGTCATATACATTAAAAAAAGGTTAAACAGGTCCACAATTCATCTTAAAGTATATAAACTGATTCCAGTATCCTGGATTGTTTCATTTAGAAAAAAATGTAATTTAATAATCATATGAAATCACAAACTATTAACGAAATTCTAAAATTGAGTAACCATAGAAGCATCATCCGATCAACCAGACTCATTTGATTCACCTTTGAAATTACCCCATTTTAACCGGAACATATGTTGACTGTCTGTCGTGCAAACTTTATTTTTAAACAATTGATCCTAGTAATAAAAAAATCAATGCAACTAGCAATGTTATATACTTCTATTTTTGAATTATTATGAATCTTGGTAAACGGATAACAAGTTTTATGGCAGAGAAGTTGTTGAAAAAGTCTCTGCCTCCTCCGTCCAATCGGAGTTGGGTTCACTCCATGACCGTGGCCGGAGACCAAGCTTGAAGAACACCACCATTTCCAGCGCCTCAAACACATTATGCTCATCCAAAAACACTTGTTCCAAACCCCACTCACAATGCAGTAATTGTTGTTATAAGGTGGCCGGTGGTGGGCGGCGTGTTGCGATCGGGATACCAACACTCCCGCATCTTGCAGCACCACCACTACTGGCGGCAGCTTGCTTTTAGTTCCATGAGCCCAAGAATGGAACAACTGGCTAAACATGATGCATCCACTAGCCATCCCCACAAATCCCATCACCACCGGTTGATCATGACCGATCAAATCAATTGGTACCACTGTATACGTTATAACACGTGCTAACGCATGTAAGTTATTCGCAAACTGACGTTTGGTAATCGTCCAGGGCCATTTATGGTGGCCTTGAAACGCGTCAATTTGCGAACCAAACATTGGAGTTGAGGCATCTCCATAATTATCAATGCCCCCAATGGTATACACCGGATCCAAGGTCTGCGAACAAGTATCCGATGAATCCAGATAAGATGGGTTCGAGCCATATGTGTGAGTCGATTGATCCGATGATGGAATTGGCTAGAGAAATGAGTACTGTTGTGCAACCAGTGGCCACCCATGCACGGTGAGCCCAAGTCGATTTAAGGCTTGGGTCATCGATTTTGGGTGGAGTAACTGTAACGAGTGGTGTTGTGTTGATGACAAGTGGTTCGAGTTTCGGCCTAGTCTTTACTCGAGTTGTTGAAGTGCAATAGACACGGTGGTTGCGATGGTGGTGCTGTTGGCGGCCTACGGCAGCAGCATGGTGGATGATGTGGTGGTGCTGAGGTAAGATGGACATATCGTGGTTTGAGTTGGGGGTGGCTAGGTGGGTTAGGGGAAGGGTATATGTAGATTGCAGTGGAAGAGTGGCTAATGTTTGGTCTACGTGGGTTTATGAGTGTCGCTAAAGAGTTGAGTAAATGTGTTGAGGATGTGTGGTACAGAACACATGTTCATGGTTTATCACATATATATTTTATGGACAAGAAAATAGGTGACACAAAAAGGGTCGCAAAGAAATTCGTATAGGATTGTTCTAACCAACGTCGATTTCACTCAACTTGTTTGATAGATGAGTTGATTTTATTAGTATTTTTTATATCTAAAATAGTTAAATTGAAAATTGTAGCTAACAAATAATGGGTAAAGATTCTTGAGTCAATTCTTGGAAGATGAGTTTTTTTTTTCTTTAGTTTTTTAATATTTATTAAATGATATATATATATATATATATATATATATATATATATATATATATATATATATATATATATATATATATATATATATATATATATATATTAAAAATTTATAAAAAATATACTAAAATTCATAATTTTTAATTTCCTAGTATAATATTCGTATACAATGTTTTTTTTAAATAAAATAAAATAATTAAAGATAATGAAAGGTAGTGAAATGTGACATTTTCCTGTCTTTTGATGAGTGAAAGAAAAGTAAGAGAAAACCGACGTGACACTCAAAAAGTGAAATATGTTTCCTGACCATGCCCTGTGAAAGGTAGTGAAATGTGACAATTTCCTGATATTTGGTGTGTGAAATGAAAGTGAGAGAAAACCGACGTGACATTCAAAAAATGAAAGATGTTATTGACCATACCCTATGGTCTAAGTGGTGTGAGCGGGATCCAAGTTGACACCTCCTACCCCATCGGAACACTACGCTAGCCATTGTGGTGCTGTTGATTTTTGGGCATGTTCAGCACAGAACGTTTAAGGGCTTCCGGCTTTTATCGTTTAACTAAACGCTCCGTTTTGAATTAAAAGTTTTGTTTAACACTACAAGTTTCTAGCATTTAATTTAAACAAAATACTCAAAATCCATATACTACTTCACGTAGCGTTTAAAAAAATATTACCCGCTACCAGCTAGTTTTGTCGAACATGCCCTTGGACTCCGGTAATTTTTTTGACCAGTGAAACACATTTTCATGCGACCAACCTTTGACCAAATTTTCTATTTGATGTCATTTAAACCGTTTTTTATTTAATTAATTTTTTTTTATGAATTATCTACGATCTTTAACCTATTTAAATAGAAAAGACACGAAGACGAAGACAAAAAGATAAAATAAAAAAATCATGTGCACATTAGTACTGGGTAAAAGTGTTTGTAGATGTTGTGCAAAGTGATATGTAGATTCATGTTTGCACATCGATAGATAGCAAAATCTTTCGGGTTTGATTGAGATTATCAAAGATTTGTTTTTTCACCAAATCACCGATTTCATTATGTTCATCACTTGTTCTTCACCCTTCGATTATTTTAGGGATAATGATTTGAAAGGGTAACGAATTTTTGACTTTTTTCATATTTAGTCACTAAACTTTTTTTTTCGTTATCTATTTGTCATTAAACTATTGAAACTGTTCACATTTTACACTTATGACCGGCTGTTGTCGGTCATAAGTGTAAAATGTGAACAGTTTCAATAGTTTAGTGGCAAATAGATAACGAAAAAATTTAGTGACTAAATATGAATAAAATCAAAAGTTCGTTTCCCTTTAAAAAGTTCAATGACTAAATGTGAACAAACTTCCTATTGTATTATGTTTTAGCAAATTATTTATTTTTGTTAAATTGTAGCAATATTTATTGATGAAGAAATCTATGAAATAAAAATAAATTTAAAAAAAAAAAAAAAAAAAAAAAAACACCTGAAAATATATTTAAAAAAAAAAACAAAAAACCGAAACCGAAATAAAAAACCAATGGTTTGACAATATTTTCTAAAATAAAAAATCAAAATTTCCAATCTGATTTTGGTTTTACAAAAAAAAAAAAAACGAACCATTCTCACTGATGTGAATTATGACAATTGGTTTGGCATGCGGAATTTGTGATATCCCATGAATACGTAGTTACAACATCGTCTGAACTCGTAATTCATAGTAAGGGTTAGAGTATCATCACATAAATATGTAGTTACAACATCGCCTGAACTCGTAATTCATCACCTACAGGTTATGGGCCTGCAGTCCGTGGTCGCCATCTATACTCTGGTAGATGACTACATCTCCACATTGCCGGTTAAGGTTATGGTATCTCCTTTCATCCTACATCACCTATTCATCATCATCTATTTACCTAATTATCATCACCTATCTCTCATCATTTTATTTTATCACACACCAACTATTTCATCTACCCATGTTTCATCCGCAACATATTTGTAGATATAAAATAAATATACCGTTTAAATCTTTTAAAACATGTATAAAACCGTTCATCCAGCATAGACAGCAAGTATTCAAATAATATGCAAACATAGCACGTAATTTATATAAAATACTTCATATCTATGTGTAAGATGAAAGTAACTATATATACCATAAGAATCCCATAAATGCTTCCTAACTTCAAACCTCAAGGTTTACTCTACTAAAGCTTCATATTCTCGGCTCTCTGGACCTAGAAGGGTCCATATTCCTAACTTCAAACTCCAAGGTTTACTCTACTAAAGCTTCATATTCTCGGATCTCTGGACCTAGAAGGGTCTAGATCTATAACACAAACTTGCAAGAGGGGTTTGAGGCATTCAGAATCCCAAAGATGAAGTGATTCAAGCCCTAACCCCAAAATGGAATCTATACAATAGGGAAGGAAAGGGGTTCATTTTTGTACATTAGAATGAAGCTCCTTGCTTGAATAACTCATAATAATAACCTTCCTTGGTCCTTCTTGCTGGAACTCTTCTCCTTTCTTGCAAAATCACACCAAAAAGCTCAAGATAGCTCTTCCTCTCACTCTACACACTCAAGCTCGCTAGGGTTCTCACTTATGGGAAAGGTAGTCGCAATTGAAGGCCATAAGTGCATTTAAATATGGCTCGGTCCCAAAGATTTAGGGTTTCTGCCAACAACACAGACTCGTCGAGTCGCCTCACCGACTCGTCGACTCCATTCATCAATCCGAGTCATCAGTCGCGACCTTAATCGATGAGTTGAGGCTTCAACTCGCCGAGTCTCTCTTCTTAACTCAAAAGGAAAATACTTAAATTATGATACCTGGAAATCATAGATTTCTTCATCAACAATTGTTGCTACAATTAAACAAAAATAAAAAATTTGCTAAAACATAATACAATAGGAAGTTTGTTCACATTTAGCCATTGAACTTTTTAGAGGGAAACGAACTTTCGATTTTGTTCACATTTAGTCACTAAACTTTTTTTCGTTATCTATTTACCACTAAACTATTGAAACTATTCACATTTTACCCTTATGACCGGCTACCCTTTCAAGTCATTATCCCTAAAATAATCGAAAGGTGAAGAACAAGTGATCAACATAATGAAATCGGTGATTTGGTGAAAAAAAAAACTATGATAATCTCAATCAAACCCGAAAGATTTTGCTATATATCGATGTGCAAGCATGAATCTACATATCACTTTGCACAACATCTACAAACACTATATATATATATATATATATATATATAATATATATATATATATATATATATATTATATTTCACGTATTTTAAAAAAAAAAAAAAACAAGATTTTTTTTTATTTTTTTTAGTTAATTCAAGTTCCGAAAATAATATTTAAAAAAAGAATTTTTAGATTTTTCCATTTATTTTGCATTTTAAAATTATTTTTTAGAATATGTTAGTGTAATATTCTATTAGAATATTTCACGTATTTAAAAAAAAAAAAAAAAAAAAAAAAAAAAAAAAAAAAAAAAAACGGGATTTTTTTAATTTTTTTTAATTTCTTTATTTTTTTAAATTAATTCAAGTTCCGTAAATAATATTTAAAAAAAGAATTTATGGATTTTTCCATTTATTTTGCATTTTAAAATTATTTTTAGATTTGGTCTCACGGTCTCATAAAATTAGAATTGTCTCACGGTCTCACAAAATTTGTGGATCTAGGAGATATGAAATTAGAATGCATGACCCGTTGGACTCTGTTGAGGAACTCCACCGTCTCTGGTGTGAGAAAACCAAATGTATCGAATGCAAAAGGTACAAACACATGTTGATTTTCTATACATGCATTCTCGTGATTTACCACTTTGCACGCAACATCTTTCAAAGTGGCATGCCCTATTGTGAAACCACCGCTCCCCAAACCAAATAGAGGAGA